ATTGGATCTCAATAGATAATATTAAATATGTCAAATAGGGATCTTTGAGAAAAAGAGAAATGATAATATTCAAGAAACTAGTAATAAATTTGTAAACTGTTTCAGCAAAACCAGGACTTCAGAAAGGGTGTGATGTCAATGGAGAGTGGGATGGTAGAAGTGTACTGTGAAGTTTGCAGATGTGTGGGGTGGAGGGATGAGTGAGCCAGCAATTTAATTTTGAAGCAATAAGGAAAAAGTGTAGGTTTGATGTCTAACCATTGAGAAGTAAACAAGGGGATTAGAAAAACCAAGTTGAGTGCCCAAATTAATGAAGGGGGAAAGAAATTAGCAAATAGTTGACCAAGTTACAAAAAAGACAAGGTAAAGTTAAAAATGAAATAGCAATGACATAAAATAAACAGGAAGCATAAGACCAAGTATAACTTTGGTACATTCTGTTTGAGTAGGTTGAATTTTCCTATCAAAACCCTAGAAAATCTGGGTATGTTTAAACACAAAATAAAATTGTACACTGCCTATAGGAAGCATGTACAAAGTGGCCCTGAAAGGTAGCTAAAAATTGTTTCCACAAAACACCTGAAATATTAAAGCATTTTAAATGTTCAGCAGAGTGTGCAAAAAATTAAGGAAAATTCTTGAGGCCAAAAATTAAATGTGACATGAGTCCAGAATACCAGATGGGCCCCAAGGCAGTGGCTGCCCTGAGGGCATTTGCATATCCTTGTGACCAGAACTTGCAGTTTTCGGGAGTGAGTCCAGGACAGAAGAGACTAGAGGCCTGTGCAAACTAAAGAGGCAGAAGAGAGGGCCCACATAACCTCAGGAAGCAAAAATCCCATCCCTGAGAGGGAAAGGATGAGGGAACCATCAGTGTGGATCTTGACCCCTGGAAGATCAAAAATGTTATCTCTGGCCAGGCATGGTGGCTCACGCCTGTAATCACAGCACTTTGAGAGGCCGAGGCGGGTGGATCACTTGAGGTCAGGAGTTCAAGACCAACCTGACCAACACGGTGAAACCCTATCTCTACTAAATATACAAAAATTAGCCGAGTGTGGTGGCATGTGCCTGTAATTCCAGCTACTCGGGAGGCTGAAGCAGGAGAATCACTTGAACCTGGGAGCTCAGGAGGCTGCAGTGAGCTAAGATTGATCACACCACTGGCACTCCAGCCTGGGTGACAGAGTGAGACTCTGTCTCAAAAGAAAAATAAAAGTTATGTTATCTCTCCTGAATTATGTAAGACAGGCTGCCCACTCATGGGGTTGGAACTCAAAATCCATTATGTCCAGAACCCTAGAAACAGCAGCCCAAAGTTGCTTTAAGGGGACCCAGATTTTTTTTTTTTTTTTTTTTTTTTGAGATGGAGTCTCGCTCTGTCGCCCAGGCTGGAGTGCAGTGTGGGGATCCTCAGCTCACTGCAAGCTCCGCCTCCGGGTCTACGCCATTCTCCTGCCTCCAGCTCCTGAGTAGCTGGGACTACAGGCGCCCGCCACCGTCACTCGCCTGGTAGTTTTTTGTAGTTTTTTTTTAGTAGAGACGGTCGTTTCACCTGAGTTAGCCAGGCTTGGTCTCGATCTCCTGACCTCATGATCCGCCCGTCTCAGCCTCCCAAAGTGCTGGGATTACAGGCTTGAGCCACCGCGCCCGGCCGGGAACCCAGATTTCCAAGATGACCCAGGTTCCCTGGAAGAACCAATTCTTTCTGGAAAAATATGTACTCTAAATGCAGATCTTGAAAATCTAGAGACAATTAATGACTTCCTGGCAAAACACAAACTGCCAAATTGATGGATGAGAAACCTGATCTGAGCAGCAGTGGAAAGATTTACTCCACCATCACCAAAAGGACTGTGCCCTTGTGGGTTTCCTGGTGCTTTCTGTCTGCTTTTAAAGGTGTGCTAATTCTTATTTTATTTCAGAGATTATCATATGAAAGATAGAAAACTGTACAGTACAAATGATAAAGCTAGCATAATCTTAGCCAAAACCTGATAATGATATACAAGTAAAATTATAGGCCAATTTCACATACAACAGTAACTGTGAAAATTATAAATAAAATATATTACCCAATAAAATCCAACTTGTTAGCATTATCATCTAGAGTTTTTTTCCAAAAATAAATAAATGGTTAACATCAGGAGCTCTTGTGATATATTTCATTGCCTCAGTGAATTGAAAGTTAAATCCTTTGAAGGAAAATAGGAAGAAAAGGAAAGTCTTTAAACATGGTAAAAATTAATCACCAAGACTCATTTCAACCACTGTATATGAACGCTGAAGAAACTTTCATTGAAAACAAGGAGCAAGTTATGGATTCCTATTATTACCATTTTGTATTTAGTAACCTTTATACAACTGTACCTTTATAACTAACGCATTCATATTATTAACTCCAAAAATAAATCTTAAAAATGAAATAATCTTATTTTCTTTCCAGATGAAATGTGCATATTTCTATAAAACTCATGAGACTTTATGAAAAATATTAGAATAGAAGAATCTAGTAAAGTGGGTATAGAAGGTCAATATAGAGAAATCAATAGCTTTTCTTCCCACTGGAACTAACTAGGTAGAAATAGTAAAAAAGAAAAATAGAGAGATAGATAGATAGATAGATAGATAGATAGATAGATAGATAGATAGATAGATAGAAAGAATATTTATATGGAAAAAATTTATTAAAGAATATAAAATATAGTTCAAATAAATAGGAAAAGTGTATTCCTGGATATGAAAGCTAGTATTAATCTTCTTAAAGTTCTATTTTGTATGTAAAAGATAAAGAAAAAAATCATAAAGTTGTAGACATATGTGAACATGTAAATTTTATGTTTGTGCACTAACAATATCAAAGTTAGAAACCAGACTGTTGGCTGGGGAAAAAATGTTTGCAGTGTATATAGCGAATAACACCATACAATAGTGTCAAGGTTATGAACAGTAATATTTAATTACTTTAAAAAGAAATTAAAGGGATTAATAAACATGTAAACAGATGAGCAACAATAAGTTTGATTACACTGATACTGGCATGGATTTGAGACAAGAAAACTTTCCTGTATTGTGGAAGGGCAAATAATTTATAATATTTTGAAAGTAATCACTTTAATATTTTCTAAATTTAAAACACACAAATCTGTCTTTACCCCAGTAATATCAACTTTGGAAATCTATGAATAGATATGAAAGCCTCAATACATACTGGTGTTGAGGGAGGATGCTTAGAGCAACCTTTTTATTGAAGTAGCAAAGTGCTTAACCACCTTTCCTGATGATTCCTGCAAATACCACCCATCAATGAATTAGTAGAGAAAATGTTGAGTTATATAAACGTTGAACACTATGGGAAATTATACAGCTGATAAATAAAACTTAGGACCTATATCCCTTAATCTGGAGGAACATCCACGATTGTTAGTGAGTCAGAAAAGCAAGTTGCAGAGTGACATATACTCTTCTTGCATACCCAGATATTTATCATTCACAGTTCACATAACTTTAGGTAATACCAGGAATGCCTATTTTTCTTTAGAATTTTTTTTCATTCCAGAGTAAATACCTGTCACCTTATTTTTAACAACTTCATAGAACTGTATATAATATTTATACAGAATAATTGTATAGAAAGTATGAACTTGAGAGAGACAATGACATCTTTAAAATTAGAAATAGTGCTTTCATAAATTGTAACACTTGTTTTTACATCTCATGTAAAAACATGTAATTGTAAGCCTGTTTATGTGATTACATATGTGTAGATGAAGATGCAGATGATCAAGGAAAGAATATACATGACATGAACATGAAATACCTGAGAAACGTGGGCAAGGGAGTTCATCCACGTGTTTTGTGGACTTAAGATCATTTCAAATTTAAAATATATTACCTTTTTATATTTTTGAGGAGGGAAATGGCAATTAAAATTAAAAAGCAACTAGAATGTACAGAAGTGGTAGATTTGAGAAGTGATGCTAATTTCCTCTTCACGTCTAAATTAACTATCTACAGTGCCTTTAATGTTTCATTTCTTAAAACACTATTATTAAAACTGCATTTTCCCCACATGTTCCATGTGTGAGTGGAAGAAAATCCCTTCTGATACCCCATATTAGCCTAGGAAAAGAGAAGCAAGCTCTGCTGTATTCCTATCTTCAATAAATCATGTAGTGTCTTCTCAGAGGGACCTATTATGACTAATCCCAATAGTCACCCTCATAGTCTTTAATTAGAAGTTAGTCTTTTATTGCAAATTTTAATTCCAGTTGCAGTCTCCTTTACAAAATGAAAATTCTTCTTCATAGGACACGTAAAGGAAAATAACATGCTGTCTTTATGTGTGTGTTTTATAATATTATTTGGAATAGTGAATTCATAGAATGCATGTGAGAGATTAAAAGATCAAGTAAATGTGTTAATATAGTAATACTGATCATTAATTTTATTGATAATGAAGTAACATATTGATTTATTTGCAAATGCACACATAGATAAATTGCTTGATATGAAATCCCAATTTCTCTTTTGCCATGTGGCCTAAAGCTTAAAGGAATAAATGATATTTTAACTTTTAAATTTTGGTTTAATTGTGGTTAGAAATATGTAAGTTGTTATTTTATAATATGCCATGTACATTAAAGAAATTTTATCTTTAAAAAATACAACATACAAAAAATTTCAGCCTTTTGTGCACGTAGAAAGTCTTTAAATAATAATGGTTTTAAAATAATATCAAATATAGATAATAAAGAAAGCCACTCACAAACATTCAAAATTGTAACATGTTTTTATAATTGCTTAAGATTGTTTTGGTCTACTGCGTTCTAGTTGGTGTATTTCAAATGCATTTTAAAAGTAAAATGTCATTCTTGACTTTATGGGGCTCCTTAGTGTATATGATACTGGCAAAAATTCATACACTGACAAATATGTGAAATAATTTAGAATAAATTATAGTTTTGAATTTCAATTTCAATGTTTCTTTGTGTCTCTAGGTGGCTTTTACAGTACTGTTTGATTTGGAAGCACTTCTGAAGATATGGTGTTTGGGATTTACTGGATACATTAGCTCATCTCTCCACAAATTCGAGCTACTACTCGTAATTGGAACTACTCTTCATGTATATCCAGATCTTTATCATTCACAATTCACCTACTTTCAGGTAATACAAATAATGCCTATTTGTCTTTAGAAATTTCTTTATTTCCAGAGTAAATACCTGTCACATTATTTTAACAACCACATAGAATTATATATAATATTTATATATAATAACTATTATGGCATGAACTTGAGGAGGCACAATGACATCTTAAAAATTAGAAACAGTGCATTCATAAATTGTAACAATTGCTTTTAAAACTCCTGAAAATTCAAAGAAACAATATAGATATTTTACTTACTTTTCCTAAATTAGCAGTATATAGATACAAATATTTTTGTATATGGATAACATATATCCATATATGCGTATCAAATTTTAAACTACATAAGATGTTGGCACAAACTTTAAATAGTAGGAAACATTAACTTAATCCCAAGTGTTTATCTTCCTTGTCAATAAGCCTAAGTGTTTGCTCAACAATGATTTACAATGAAAATATTAAAGGTTTATAAAGACTAGTACCTTATACAGATTGTATTAGTCATTACAGGTATTGACTTAATAAAAGTGCCCTGTTACGCTTTGGGATGGCACTTAGATAGTTCTTATGTGTAGACTTATAATACATTGGATATCTTTTTAAAATGGATTATGAATCACATTGCCTTTCTAATTATGCCAATAAACAGTATTATTAGTTACATTTCTTGTTAATTTAATAAATGTAACAACGTTGCTTACTGTCCTGGTAAATACTTCAGTCAAATTATACAAATATGTGTACGATCTATACTATAAAAAAAATACTTAAAATAGTACATTTTTCGGATTCAAACGTTGGTCATTTATATAATTATCATGGAACACAAAAGGTGCATGATTGTTTTCTAAAATAGATATTGTTTAGATATTGGGAAACTAAAGTGGGCAATAGAATTTAAAGAAGTGATGGTTGAGAAACGGGACTCTAAACCCTTAGGAAAAAGAACATGCATTGAACTTTATTGATTTTAATTTGATTAGTAATACCAAAGTATTATTCTCAGAAAAATATTTCACTTTAGCTGCCAAATCATTTGTAACTAGACACTTTTAGTACCTGGGGAAAGGACATGCAAATATAATTCACAAAATGTAAAAAGCAAAACCCTCACAAACCCAGGCAAAAAGCTGACCCCTTGTAATCACAGCCAAGCCATATTGCAAACCACAGAGGATTTCATGGGTTCAAAGTGCCACTTCCTCAGCGTCTGTGGATGTAATCTTCTCCTCATTTGTTGAGTTATATCCTGAGCTTGATTATCATAAGTGACATGGCTGGGCAACAGATATATACGTTTGAAATTCTTGATACAAATGTGCTTTCCAAACATTCATGCGATTATAAACTCTTGTGCACTGCTATCTAGATTCACAAAGTTATCATGGCCCATTGAGTACCTTACTTTAGGGCATCATTGCACATAATTATAGAAACATGCTTTATATCAAAACAACAGGATACCTTTTTTACAAAGCTATTAAGTAACCAAATTAAGAAAATTGGTGTGTCCTATTTCAGCAAGGTACAGTATAAAATATATTCAGCGTCTTAATATTGCTATAGTCTCTGACATACTATTTTTCAGCAAAAGTTAGAAAATATCAAAATTTTGTGTGCCAAATATTTTATTATAGAATTGTCAATGAGAGAAAAAGTGGAAACTGTTTCATGACAAACATTTAGAAGGAATAAGCTTAGCTAAGTCAAAATGCAAATTAACCATAAAATTATATATTATGATGAGTTTTTTATATTTAGAAATATGACTGTTTTATTTAAATGATAACAGTATAAATTATATAACTACACATGTATTTATTATATGTGTATGTAAAATACCTATAAAATGAAAAAAAAAATGACTAGAGAGAAATAAACCACTTATAACAAATTATTAATCGTCCGTAGGTTCCTACTCTTGTCATCATGTCTTTTTTCCTTTACTAGTCTGTTTTTTACAAAATATCTAAAATTAGCCTGCAAGGCTGTAACCATTTTATAGATAGATAGATAGTCAAATTATAGTGAAGTTTGCAATTTCAGGCTGTCTTGATTTTGGATTATCCTGTAATTGGTTCTGTTTAATTTATGTTAATGATTAAGTGATTTTCATTTGTATCTCTCTACACATGGCCATGCTTATCTTTTTCTAATGTATTAATAATGAATAAAAATGATCTCAGTTAATGTGTGGCTAAAAAGTAAATCTCTTGAGAAACTTAGGTGTCCCAAGGGTTTTTGCAAATTTGCGTATGGAGAATCCACTGTACCAGACAGAGCGGCTCTTTATATAAAGGCCCACATTGGTCTTCCCTGTTGGTCCTCACACTTCTCATTTCAATCAACTTTTCTTTACTGTGTTGCCAACAAGTCTTTCCTTAGACAATTTCATATTTCTCACTTTAAATGAAGTAATGTTTAGTGCAAAGTGGCTTCCTTTAAAATATTAGTTATCATGTGTCAGTTGGCTGTATGCATGTCTTCTTTTGAGAAATGTCTGTTCATATCCTTTGCCCACTTTTTGATGGGGTTTTCTTATAAATTTGTTCGAGTTCTTTGTAGGTTCTGGATATTAGCACTTTGTCAGATGAGTAGATTGCAAAAATTTTCTCCCATTCTGTAGGTTGCCTGTTCACTCTGATGGTAGTTTCTTTTGCTGTGCAGAAGCTCTTTAGTTTAATTAGATCCCATTTGTCAATTTTGGCTTTTGTTGCCATTGCTTTTGGTGTTTTAGACATGAAGTCCTTGACCATGCCTATGTCCTGAATGGTATTACCTAGGTTTTCTTCTAGGGTTTTTATGGTATTAGGTCTAATATTTAAGTCTCTAATCCATCTTGAATTAATTTTCATATAAGGAGTAAGGAAAGGATCTAGTTTCAGCTTTCTACTTATGGCTAGCATCATCACTGGCCATCAGAGAAATGCAAATCAAAACCACAATGAGATACTATCTCACACCAGTTAGACTGGCAATCATTAAAAAGTCAGGAAACAACAGGTGCTGGAGAGGATGTGGAGAAGTAGGAACACTTTTACACCGTTGGTGGGACGGTAAACTAGTTCAACCATTGTGGAAAACAGTATGGCGATTCCTCAAGGATCTAGAACTAGAAGTACCATATGACCCAGCCATCCCTTTACTGGGTATGTACCCAAAGGAATATAAATCATGCTGCTATAAAGACACATGCACATGTATGTTTATTGCGGCACTATTCACAATAGCAAAGACTTGGAATCAACCCAAATGTCCATCAGTGACAGACTGGATTAAGAAAATGTGGCACATATACACCATGGAATACTATGCAGCCATAAAAAGGATGAGTTTGTGTCCTTTGTAGGGACATAGATGCAGCTGGAAACCATCATTCTTAGCAAGCTATCGCAAGGACAGAAAACCAAACACTGCATGTTCTCACTCATAGGTGGGAATTGAACAATGAGATCACCTGGATTCGGGAAGGGGAACATCACACACCGGGGCCTATTATGGGGAGGGGGGAGCGGGGAGGGATGGCATTGGGAGTTATAGCTGATGTAAATGACGAGTTGATGGGTGCTGACGAATTGATGGGTGCAGCACACCAACATGGCACAGGTATACATATGTAACAAACCTGCACTTTGTGCACATGTACCCTAGAACTTAGAGTATAAAATATATATATATATTAGTTATCTGTTAGACTAATTACTGATGTTATTAATGTATTTATTAAAGTGATATTTACTGAGCTTCTACTATGTGTCGGCCACTGTTTCAGATACTGAAGATGGAGCAGTGGGCAAAGCAGAGAGGGTTCCCACTTTATGAAGCTTAAATTCTAAAGGCAAACAGTTAACAAAGAAGTACACAAAGAATTGTGAAGTACAAGTACTGGAAATGTCTTAAGGAAGAAGTGTGCAGGGTAAAAAGAATAGAAATTGTGTAGTGGGGGGCTATTTTAGATTAGTTGTTCATAGAAGCCCTCTCCGAAGAGGTGAGGTTTGAGCAGAGACTGAATGAAGTGAAGGAGCAAACTGTAAGGAGGTCTGAGGCGAAGCATTCCAGATGGAGAGAATCACATTGAGCATGTCCTTAGGTGGGTGCATGATTGATGTGGTTCAAGGAATAGCACAAAGGCCAGTGTGGCTGGGCTGCAACCAATGCAGGGCAGCACGGCCTACGGGAAGTCATAAGGTCTTACAAAATGCTGTGGTTCTTACATACCTGTATCATCATGATGATGTTGACTGGTGCTTCTTGTGAATTTTCTGTGTGTCAGGCATCTTGTTGAGTGCATTGTCTCATTTGTTTCTCATAACAATCCCTGAGATAAAGACTGTATGTGTAAATTGAGGTCTGAAGAAATCTGTTGACTTGCCCAAGACCACATACCTCGCAAATGATGGAGCTAAAACTTCTTCCCAAGAACCTGAATTTCAGAGTTCATGTTCTTAACTATGCAATTTCTACAGCATCTCACTAAAAATCAACAGAGTGACCTTTAAGACTCAGAAATGTGACCAGGAAAATGTTTTGGAGACAACCACAAAATGTTCTGAAGTGCTTATCTTTCAGAGTATGGTTTACTTTGTGTTGTATCTCTAGGAAGGCAAAATCAAAAAGCTTCATAGGGTAGATAGAATGAAAAACCTACTGATCGCTGAATAAATGAAAAGGCACAATTAGACTCACTGACAGGGATTTTTCCTTTGTAGGAGTGCAGGTTTAACCCTTTGAAAATGCTGATCAAATCACCAATGTGGAAGTTATATTAAATAGTTCCATTTTTTCAAGCTAACAAAATATTAATTCATTAAAATTGCACAGATGTGCACAGGCTGTTTTTATTAGAATTTGGGATGGGCTTCAAAACTAGACAATCTTTCAGTTATGATTTTAATACAACTCAGGAAAACTACGGAAATTTGAGCTCTAAGCTGGTAATTGATCCTGTAAACTTGTCTAGATTCAGCTGTTTACAGTTAGGTATCAAATTATTTATGTCTGAGAATAGACAAATCTGATAAAAATGTGAAATCTTTCCAGATTATTATTCTGGATATTAATATGGATATTAACTTTAATAGTTCTTATGATAAAGCTGTTTGCTTATTGTTTGTAAAGATTATCTGAGAGTAATATGCTCTGATTTGGGAATGTGTGTTAAGAATTACAGCAGGAAAAATTGGTAGCTTCACCATGTAGTATGATGCTTAATTTGAACAACATAATTTCTTACATATGTTTAAAAATTTCAAATTAGCGTGAAGGAAATATGCATTTCACAACTTTAGTCATTTTTTTCCATTGGTTTACTTACATGCCGTAAACCATATCATTTGCATTCTGCGGACAATAGGAATAAGACTGACCATTGATATTTCCTGTTAAATCAAAGTAAATGTAGTAAATGTGGTTTCAGGTACGGCAAAATTCAGAGGCTAATATGGTATCAGGGGCTCAGTACGTGTCTTCACCTACCTTTCTTCTGTTGGTGTGTCGGTGACATTCTTAAGCTGGCTTTCTCCATGTGGAGGCAAAGATGGCTCCTAGGAGGGCACAGTTTGTGTGACTCTTACAGCAGTGCCCATTGGGGATTAAAAAAAAATAGAATATTTCTTTTTTTTGGACAGAGTCGCCCTCTGTCACTCAGGCTGGAGTGCAGTGGCCAGATCTCAGCTCACTGCAAGCTCCATGTCCCGGATTCACGCCATTCTCCTGCTTCAGCCTCCCGAGTAGCTGGGACTACAGGCACCCGCCACCGTGCCCGGCTAATTTTTTGTATTTTTAGTAGAGACAGGGTTTCACCGCTTTAGCCAGGATGGTCTCGATCTCCTGACCTCGTAATCCGCCCACCTCAGCCTCCCAAAGAGCTGGGATTACAGGCGTGAGCCACCACGACCAGCCAAAAACAATAGAATATTTCTTATTAAAGGCATCCAGCAAAAGCCCTAAGGATGACTCAGATGATTGTGAATACTCTGACCAGATTTGGATCATGAGGATTGAGGAGTCCTTCTTGCACCTCTGTACTAAGACTGGGGTAGGAATGATTTGCCAAAGGAAAATCAGGCAGAGTTGAAGAAGCTAGAGGCACTGGAAAGCCAAAAACAAACATATGTTATTTTAGACGTGTAAAAATTAAAATTCAATTTTTTTTTTTTTTTTTTTGTAGACAGAGTCTTGCTCTGTTGCCCAGGCCGGAGTGCAGTGGCACAATCTCGGCTCACTGCAAGCTCCGCCTCCTGGGTTCACACCATTCTCCTGCCTCAGTCTCCCGAGTAGCTGGGACTACAGGCACCCGCCACCGTGCCCGGCTAATTTTTTGTATTTTTAGTAGAGACAGGGTTTCACCGCTTTAGCCAGGATGGTCTCGATCTCCTGACCTCGTAATCCGCCCACCTCAGCCTCCCAAAGAGCTGGGATTACAGGTGTGAGCCACCGGGCCCGGCCAAATCTAATTTTTAAAAATGCATTTTCTGTTTCTTACTGTATTCCAAATACACTATTCATCTTTCACAAACAACTCAATCTCTTATTGACATCAAATAATCTTGGATGATCAAGAATGCAATTTTCCTATGTTAGTATCTCTGAATTTGGGAGCTGTTATAATCAGTGATGTGTTATACTTTAATTGGCAGCAGTTTTTTATTTCTTAGAGCTACATACAAAATTGATGACATCTTCAGCTTAATGAAAAGTTGTATTTTTCACACTATATACTTCAACTTTTAATTATGCACTAATTTATACATACTAATCATATAAATGTGTCCTTAAAAGCTGTGTCTTTGTGTTATAGTCACTTTGTAATAGTAGCCATTGAATCCTATTTGTCCAACACAAAGTTTGGCATATAGTAATCAATAAATGTTTGTTAAACAAATGAGTGAATAAATTTGTCAATTACTTAGTTTTTCTGCAAATGTATGTATACAAAACATCTAAATATATCTATATTTAGATGTGTGTGTGTGTATATGTGTATATATACACAGTCATGCATCACTTAACAGCAGAGATACATTCTGAGAAATGCATTGTTAGGCAATTTTGTTGTCGTGTGATCATAGAGTTTACTTACACAAACCTAGATGTATAGCCTACTATACAAACATATACAAACTATACACACATACAAACCTATATGTATAGCTATATGGTATGGCCTATCACTCTCAGGCTACAAACCTGTACAGTGTATGACTACATCGAATACTGTAGGCAATTTTCACGCAATGGTAAGTATTTGTGTATCTAAACATAGCTAAATATAGAAAAGGTACAGTCTTATAGGACCACCATCCTATACGTGGCCCATACTTGACTCAAAAGTTATGCGACACATGACTAAAATATATGTAAATATATACAGACACACACATATATATGTGTGTATATATAGAGAGAGAGAGAATAGTTAAGTACATATAACGAAGATCCAAAAATACAAAACGTACATAAGACAGAAGTTTATTTCTCTGCAGCAGTTGGTGAGTATGTGGGGAAAGCAGGTGGCTGTGCCCCTCATGGTCACCCAGCCTGTTGGGTTGGACAGGACCCGTCGTATTCTATGCAAGCCTTCTATTTCTGGTCCAAAGGGGCTACGCTATTTGTTTCCATTTCCAGGCAAGAGGAAGGTATTTTTTAAAGGATTCAGAGAAAGTTTAACTTAATGCACCAAAACTTGTACAAATCATTTCATCTCATATTCCATAGGTCTGAACCCAGTCCACTGGAGACAGCTAGCTGCGAGGGAGACTGGAACGTGTAGACTATAGCCCCAGGCAGTCACTTGCTAGTTTAAAATTCGGACAGTTCTGTTTTTTAAGGAGGAAAGAGAAAATGGATATGGGGTGATAATCTCAGTAAGAAGTAAAAGTTCTTGACAGAAGTTTGCTTCTTTTTCCATTTCCTTATGATTTTCTCATAATACCTAGGAAAATATTTTATGAGACAATGAATATAACTAATACAGGTTGAGTATCTGTATCCCAAATGCTTGGGACCAGAAGTGTTTTGGCTTTCGATGTTTGTCAGATTTTGGAATACTTGTATATATATGTGCATAATGAGATATCCTGGGAATAAGACCCAAGTCTAAACACAAACATTGTTTATGTTTTATAAATACCTCGATTACATTCCCTGAAGGTAGTTGTATACAATATTCTTAATAGTTTTTTACACATGAAACAAAGTTTGTATACATTGAACCATCATAAAGCAGAGGTGTCAGGTGTAGAATTTTTCACTTATGGCCTCATATCAGCACTCGAAAAGTTTCAAATTTTTGAGCATTTTATGTTTTAAATTAGGAATGTTCAACCTGGGTTTCCTTGCGTACTTGAACATTAGAAAAATATTAATTTTATTTCAACAATATGTACTAATGAATATCATTTTGTATAATCATATCATATGTTAAAACAGTTCATCCATTCATTTGGGATTTATTGAGTTCTTGTTATGTGGCAGGCATTGAGCTAAACCAGTGGTTATTCTATTGTTATTTTTAGTCACTAGATGTTCAAATGGAGAGGTACGATTTTCATAAAGCACTATAAAATAATCTTTCAGTATGAACATATTTAAGATTCAGTGTAAATAAATGGTCATGATGTATCAATAAATGTTTCTCTCTCCCTTGATAGGTTCTCCGAGTAGTTCGGCTGATTAAGATTTCACCTGCATTAGAAGACTTCGTGTACAAGATATTCGGTCCTGGAAAAAAGCTTGGGAGTTTGGTTGTATTTACTGCCAGCCTCTTGATTGTTATGTCAGCAATAAGTTTGCAGATGTTCTGCTTTGTCGAAGAACTGGACAGATTTACTACGTTTCCAAGGGTAAGAATTTTTAAAATGCAGTACGTTAAATTCATTGTTCCTATTTTAGTAATAATGATTAACATCAAAGTAATTTCACTTTAGCAGTGGTTCAGAAGTATTGTCCTATTTTTGATAACTTGGGATAATTAGATTTTAATATTTAAAATGGTCTCTTCTGCAGCGTGTAGGTGTTTGAGACCATTTTCAGCATTGTCAGATTATATATCAGTTCTAAAATTCTGGAAATAATCTAATAGAGTTAGGTGCTGAAACCTGAATGCTAGGATGCTTAGCACCTATAAATTAAAATACAGCAGAATTTTAAAATAAATCTTGCATTTTTGTGTTCAAAAGAGTTGACATTTTTAATGTTTTATGGTTTACATATTATGTTAGAATCTAAAAGGAAGCTTTTGGTTTTCAATAAAATAAAATTCATAGGCTCTTCAGAATTTAAATGTCTCTCAGCTTTCTCATTAGAATTCACTTAGGCTAAAAAGGAATTTAGAAATTAATGGATCCATTAACAAAACTCGTGTAGGAGATACAGAAGGACCTTGAAATTTAACTCCATGTGGACTTAGAAACATAAAAAAATACAATGGCCAGACAAAGAATGTATATATTTTTACCCTAAGTTGAAATAGTAAGGCCTATTATATGGTGTATTAGTCCATTCTTAGACCACTGATAAAGACATGCTCGACTAAACTGCGTAATTTATAAAGAGAAAGAGGTTTAATGGACTCACAGTTCCACATGGCTGGAAAGACCTCACAATCATGGTGGAAGGTGAAAGGCACATCTTACATGGTGGCAGGCAAGAGGGAATAAGAGCCAAGCTAAAGGGGAAACCTCTCACAAAACCATCAGATCTTGTGAGATTTATTCACTACCACGAGATCAGGATGGGAGAAACTTCCCCATGATTCAATTATCTCACACCTGGTCCCTCCCACAACACCTGGGAATTATGGGAGCCACAATTCAAGATGGCATTTGGGTGGGGACACAGTCAAACCATATCATATGGAAGAATAATATTGGGGTAAAAACAGCATATATTTTTAAAAGTTGAGCTTTGACAGCAAAAGGGTCTGTACTTTTAATGGACAGCTTAGCTTTATTTTAGGGATTTTTTTTTTAATCTTGTGCTAAATTTATTATTTGAGCTACCAGTGTTGGAATTCATCCTTTTATAATGCAGATTCTTCTTGCATGTGCCGCCAAGGATTTGTCAAGTGCCTTTAAAGAGTCTGGTCATTTAGGTGATCTTGGGGATATAAGTCCTCAAGAAATTCTCAGTTGAGGGGAGGAAGCAGTAGGTAAGCACAGGGCACCACAGGCCTTGATGAAGGCAGACACTAGATGCTCTGGGGACCCAGAGGCAAGGCCAATTCCCAGGCGTGGGAAAGTCCAGAAAGGCTTGTGGGAACAGGTGGCTCCAACGGCTGCATGTAACCAAAGGAAGTACAAGGGCATGGATTCCCGTCACAGTGACAGCATGTACTAAATGTCTGTGTTGAGCAAATCCTTGTGCCAGAACTTAGAGAGCAAGAACCATCAATGGTAAGAGGAGGACAGAAGGCCAAGGAACTCTGAAGTCGGTTGAAAGTGTGGTCGTGTTTGTCATGCCAAACTCCTATCAGCTCTAATAGGGAAGGCACCAGGTTCAAGAGGCTGAAGGAGAGACCCAGAGCCGGGAGAAAAGATATGGGGTTTTATTGAGGGTTTGCATACAGGGCAGGAGTCCAATGGCTGCCAGCTGTTCAGGAGAACCGGACCTGCTTGCAAAATGCATGCAATTTACATAGCATTTTTACTTAGCACACTCTCCCAGCAACCTCCACGTGGAAATCTTAATTCACCCCAGACTCGGGGCCTCCATTCCCTATATAGCCAGTGTTCCACGGGAGGAGATGGGGGCTCAGATGTTCCTCATAGAAAAGGAACCAATCTCTGGGTTGGCCACTCCCAGATCCTCTAGCTCAGAACACACATTCAGGTGTGTCTGGCAAGAAGGGTCATTCTCAGGGTATGCTTGAGTTATTGCTTTCAGGTGCACTTGCATACAATGTTTAAATGCTGATGAGAGAGGGCGAGTAGATAGTGAGGTTGGAGATGAGTGAGATGAGGATGACAGCAAAGATTCCTGCAGAGGTGGGAGAAGGCGGTACCCACAGCATGAGGATAAAGATCAGCCTTAGACAGGTGTTGAGCTGACAGGTGTCGAGGTGATCCTCAGGACAGCAAGCCAAGCCGAAAGTTACAATCAAGCCTTCGTTCCCTCACTGCAACAGTACAAGCAGGAGGCAAAGGTAGGCACCACTCTCCAGCTCTCCAGCGTCCGGAGGTGTTGGTTAAGGGTCAGGTGGGTCAGCAGGCATGGGGAAGGGAGGGCTCTTTTCCTTGCTAAGCAGTCCTGAACAAAAAGTTCCAGCCATTCCTGCACCCAGGGAGGGGAAGCATAAGGAAGGGATAGGAGTAGAAAGGAACGGAGCTAGCATGGAGGAATGTGCCTCAGCTGGGCTCTGATCAGGAGGCCACTGCATGGAGGCACCTGGTCTGGGACTGCAGCTATGGCCATGAGCCCAGCTGGCCTGGCAGGGCAGAGCTGACTCATAAATTGCAAGTCCCTCCAGAAATGGCAGTGCCCTGGTCGTGCACCATGTCTAGGGTGGGGATGGCCGTGGTCCCCTGGGAGGTCTCCTAGCCAAGGCCTTGCCATTGCCTGTAATCAGGTCTGAATGAATCACACATAGGATTTTGGCCAAGAGCAGGACTCCTGGAGAGGAGGCTGGAGGGAGGCAAGCCAGGATGATAACTACATCATTAGGCCCACCTTCTCTGGGTCTGCCCCTTCACTGGGTAAATAAAAGGAGCAGCTGGCCATCTTTTCCATGGGAACATGGGATGGTTATTGTAAGAGTTAAGGAGGTAAGAAAAACGAAAAGCAGCTCAACAGTCAAAGACGGGTTTATTTTGGAGAATAAACTTGAGAGGGGCTTCTGGCCAATTTTGCTCAGAAGCATTCTGTCTTACAGACTAAGGGTATTTAAGGGTGTAGGAAGTGGGGAGCTTATTGCGGGTTCAGAATGTTTTTATGTGAGGGAAAGTTTATTGTGGGTTTGGGATGTCTGGTTGGAGGGGAGGCTATCTTGGGATTGTCATGTTTCTGGTTGGAGGGGGTTTATCTTAGGATTGGAATGTTTCCGGTGATGCTGAAATTAGGCTGATGTTTGGGGCTTGATTTGGGTGGTTTTTTAATCAAGGGGAACTTAAAATGGTGGTGTTTCTCCAAGATGACGATCTCCTGCTCTCTCAATCCAGTCCCCACAGTTGTAAAAAGGAAGAGGGGTGGAATGTTCTTTCTGGCTACTTCCTGCTGAGCGGGGGTCAGAGGTTGTTTGGTTTTGGGTTGATTGTAGGAGTAATGCCATCTGTAGATGCTTTTGGGTAATTGTGAGATGGCCATGATCCTGACAGTTAAAAAAAAAAATCTCTGAAAAAGGTGAATTATCTGTAAGCACATTAGTCCTAGGCATATGATTAGGAGAGGGCCCAAGAATGGGATGGTCCCTGTTAGGATTTTGTTTCTAAACCAAGAATGTATGTGGTGGTTTTGGTATTCTTTTCGCTTTTTAGCCCTTTAAGTTTTTCAGCAGTATCTCTTACTAGGCCCGATTGGTTGAGATAGAAAGCAACATTCCTCACCCAATGAGAGGCAGAGGCCCCCTTTTTCAGCCATTATAAGATCTAATCCCTGTCTTTGGAGGACTACTGCAGCCAAGGAGTCTAGTTGGTCTTGGACTCTTACAAGGCTTTGGGCTATATCTTCTAAAAAATTCTAAAGTATGTTAAGGAGTTGGCCCATCTGCCTGCTCCCAATCCAAGCCCGGAGGTTATACATAAGGCGGCCATTAAAGGAATGACTTGGATATTGCTCCTTTTTCTAACATATTGAATGAATGGAACAGGTAAAGATTGTTTAGGAGGAACTAGTCCAATGGAGGGAGAAAGATAAACTAGGGTACAGGTTCCGGTCCAGTACGTGGGGAGACAAAGATATGTGTTGGTACCACACAAAAAGAACAAGCCTTTGTCATAAATACAGGCAGAGATAGGGAAAGAAAATAAGCATATTAAAGATGGGGTGTTTTTTCTTTCTTGCGATTTTTTATTCCAGGTGGACAAGGAGGAGGCCAGGGAGACACCCACTATAGTAGAGATACAGGAAGAGTTATTTTTTTACACATTTAATGCAATTGGATGTTGCACCATTGATATTGAGCCACGGAAAAAGTTGGGCAGTAAGGGGCAGCACAGGTTAGGCAGGGGGGCATTGGTTGAGGGAGAGGCTGTAAACAAGCTGGTTGCAGAAATGCTCCATTTGTTTCCGTTGATACTTGGTAGTCAATGTGGTTACTTTGATTGTCAGAGGGGTGTTTAACAATGATAGTGTGGTTGCATTGGTTAGATGTTAAGGACCCTACAGGGCAATTTCCCTCCAAGGCTGAAAAGCAAAGTGAGGCTTGTTGTAAAAAGGGGGTGTGTTTAGTTATGGGCCCTTCCATGGGAGGGTCTTGGGGCTTAAGGCGTTGTAGAGAGTTGTAATAAGTTTGAAATACTTTGTTGGCCTGATTGGTCCTGAAAGTGAGATAATCTCAGAACAGAGTGTCCTCTCTTTCAAAAAACGAAGCTCCTTTTTGGAGTTTATAAGTTAGGGTTATATTTCCTGTTAAAAGGTCATGAAGGGGTGTAGGAAGGGCTGTGTAAGCTGAGGAAGACAGCGATAAGCATATCCAGCACTGGGGAGCAAAGGAAGAGTTAGCTTGCAGCAAGAGGGATTGTGTAATGTTTACAGAGCATTCTAGTTTGAGAGCAGTGAGGAGTGGTTTTATTGGTGAGGTTGACAGGATTAGGGAATTTATATTGAAAGAAACAAGCAAAAAGAGAAAAAAGTTATTTGGGTAGGAGTAAACTCCTGGAAAGTTCCTTGAAGCCATAGGTGCCATAAA